ACTCTTAAGATAACTGTACTGATTTACTTATTTATTTGGGGGGAAATGTCTGATATCCAGCCAATGGTTAACCCAACTTTTCTTCATTTTTTTTTTTTTTTTTTTTTTTAAAGGCTCATCTTACTTGTAAACACAGACTGCTAAATCACCATGAAAAAGTCAGTAAACACCCTTGGTCCCAAGAGTAAGACGAATGTCAGAATATATGCAGACTTGTCAAGGTTGGCTTGTTACCAAAACCAAAGCTACTCCCTTCCTGAATACAGCATCTTTTTTCTAAGGGACCAGAAATGATCAATTCTCTTTTCCCTCACTGTGCTTGGAGCAAAGTAAATCCCAAGGAGATGAGAGGGCTCATACCCAGGTTAGTGTCAGTATATTGAAAAAAGAAGACCAGCAGTGGTGACCCAGCGAGCCCCTCAGGAGATTATCCGAGCAAACTTAGGCTCGTGTCCGGGAGAAGCTGAGACCCCAAGATCCGTCAGGATCCCGGAAGGTGTTAAGGAACGTGGGTAGAGAGGAGGATTCTGGACAGATGTTTGCGACAGGCATGACCGTTCAGAACAGAGACAGAGAGAGGAAGCTGTTTAGCATCTCCAGTGGACAGTTACTGCCAACGAGGACATGACTAATATGGTCCCTCTTGCAAGAACATCCCAGGGGCACTCGGGCCCCGATCCTTGTGCACTGAGATGCAGAAGCCCACCTGCTACCCCATCGCTCTGCCTGCAGGCATGAGGGCAGGGCTGGGGTCTGATGGTCTCCGAGACCCCTACCACCGGCTCCGCACATGGGGGCTGCTCCGAAATTGCTAGGGCCTAGCGACCGTTCTGGGGAAGCTCGTTCAGTGATCGGCACTCTCACTGGCAGGAAGCCTTCCTTCTACATAAATAAAAATCGACGCACTTTAAACCAACTTCCACTCGTTTGGTCCTTACGAGGGAGACAGGACGAATGGCTTGTACCAGGCTTCCTGGCACCGAATAAGCAAACAGGCCTTTCATTTTAGTGCTATAGTTCTCAAGCGTCTCCAATTTTTTCTTTTTTAACTCCAAATGACCTGCATGGTGTACATATTATTTGATACAGGTTTTCTTTGGCAAGGGATCACCTTCTGAATGCCGATATCCAAATTCTGTAAATATAAGAGGTTTTGAGGTCTACTCTGATTAGTTAAGTATCTAACAATCTAATCTTTTATAGCAGTCACAGACTTTTACCAAAATTGCTGATTCCATTAGATTCCACATGTATACCCACTGCATCTGACCTGCTCTGGTTCCCGGAAGATACAACTTCAGATAAATGACCATCAACTTTTGGGGGGGACAGAAAAGCTCCCGCCATAGCGAGTAGGGGCAGGAGAACCCAAAAGCAAAACTGGTCCCTTGGGAGGGGTCTACTGGGAGACGTTTTTAAACGTGTAATTAGTATTTTTAAGAATGACTGCTTTCCACCCCTAAAATGTAAACTTTACTGGTTGGCACTGTATTTGACAATCTGTCTATTAAAAGCCAGAAATGCCGATCTCAAGCTGCAACCCACAGAGCCTTTTGGGAAGTCAGGAACACGGCCCTGCAGTCCTGCACGAAGGGCCCTACAGCAGCTTTTGTTTTCCTTTTACTAGACCTACTAGATTGTCCTATGGATCTCTGCAAGAGAGACGCCAGATCCGCACTCCATCCTTTGGCAAATGGAATCCAGCTGACCCAAAATCATGGCCAAGAGAAAACAATGCAGCCCAAGATCTATGCCCAATGGCTACGTCTCTCTGCTTCCAGGAGGGACAGTCAGCTGACTCTCCAAGCCTTGGCCTAAACACTGCTCCATCTTGAAACGACTTCAAGTGGACCGTCTGGGCTGTTTTCTGACTGAAGCTCATAAGAGGGGGTCTCTATGTTGTCCTGAACGGAAGCTTGAAGAACCAGAACCAGGGGGACAAGCTTCTCTTCACCCCAGGATGCTGAGAGGAGCCACGCCCAGCGCCCAGCTAAGCCTGGGCCCTCGCTGCCAGGACAGCTGAAGCAGGATGCCGGGGAGGTGTCCGGCTAGAGGTGCCCGGGGGGCTTCCCACCGCCGCTCCGCTCTCCGAGTGGCTGTTAACGAACAGGGGTCAGTCCTGTCAGAGCCGGAGGAGGGCGAGGGCCCAGCCCTGTCAGAGCATCACCTTTAGCATCACAAGGGCAGCAACATTCTGCTCAGAGCATCTCAGGAACCTCAGGAAAATAAGAGCTTAGACGGACCAGTTTCTCCCTGTGAGCAGCACAGAGGGTGCTAAGGAAGCAGAGTCAAGGGGCCCGGGCCTCCGAATGCGGGGAGGCCGCCAAGGCTCCCTGGGCAAGTACGTGGTTATCCTAACACTGTCGGGTGGGCTAGTGTGTGGGGTCTGAGGCTTCCTGGGTGTTAGGGGAGGATTAGTTGTGACAGACGAGACAACAGGGAAAGGACTCCGCCCCGTGCACAGGTGAGGGTTCTGTCTAAGCACACGGATTGGACGCTCTTAAGGGTGCCCAATGCTCACAGGGGGGAACTCATTCTCATCATCAAGACACACTGGTCCCGTTGCAAACTCGTGTTCGGGGATGACCTCTCCTCGGAGCGCCCCGCCATCCTCAGAATAACCTGGAAACCAACAGTGAGACATGAGAGAAGCCACGGGGTCTGTTCTTAGGCCGCGACCCCGGGGCCGGGCCTCAGCAAAGCGAGCGTCCGGGGACCCACGGGACGGACTGTGCTCCCCACGAGTGCAAATCCTCAGCGTTTACGGCCTGAAGCCCCTGGGCGGCTGGTCTCCACCCGCCCGCCCCCAGCTCCTCCAGCTTTCCACCTGATTACAAACCGTCCAGGAGGCAAGGCGTTCCCACTACTTGTTAGGCAGGCGGCCACTGGGGGCTCCGCCGGCCCTGCTCTGGGACCCGCGTTTAAGGCTACGCCTAGGGCCGCATCTGGAGGAGTCGCGTGGCTCAGGGGGAGTGCTCTGTCCACAGGCAGTGGTGGTGGAAGAGGGTCGCTGTCACACCGGTCCCCCGTGCCTGCTCACCTGGCACCGTGGAGGCTGCAGATGGGCTCGGTCTGGCTACAGTTGCTGCATAAGACTGAGGTAATGAAGCTCTGAGGTCATTTTCTTTATTCTCATCGGCAGTTCCTGAGCCAAGCAAGCTAATTGCAGCGATGACGTGGGGGGAAGGAAGAGACAAAAAAGGTCACCTCACGCCCAGGGCACTTCCAAAAGGCAAAGCACCCGGAAGCCCGTGCTGGGCCCCTGGGGTTCAAGGCATACGCCTGTCGGTTGCCTGCCAGGTCAGCGTGGACCAGCGTGACCTTCACCTGCCAGTCACGGGATTTCTCATCTCTGGTGTTTAGTAAACCGAGATCGGTCCTGTGCTCCTCCTGGCACGCGCAGGCCAGGGCACCCGGGAGCCCCAGGTGACGGGGCAGTGGCAGCTCGGGGCACCCTGTCCGCAGCAGGAGGTCGCCCTGCCCTTGGCCGCAGAGGTCAGGAGAACGTCTCAGTTCAGTCTGGTACACAGCTCGGAGCGCCTGTTATGTCTGAGGGAGCCCGGGAAGAGGAGGGCCCAGCAGGGAGACCCCATTTTGCATGTCATTGAGCCCTACGTGAGCGCAGCGCCAAGCAGGGCCCCCCGGCTCTGCCCCTGGGCCCGCCCCTGAAGGAGAAAGGGCAGCAAGAGCGCTGAGGCTGGGCACCGTCTGGGCTGGGGGGCACACGACACAGGCGGCCCTTGAAAGGCCGGCTCTCTGAACACTGGTCTCTTCACCTGTGGGTCTTGATCAAGACGCAGTCTCCTCCGTCCTGAGCGTCCAAGTTGTAGATGTAAAGGTGTCCACTGGATGATGCCACCAGGAGCCTCGGCAGCTTCTGGATCCTAAGGGCCAAGAAGACATGTGCTGGGATGACAACGTACGTGGGCGGCAGATCCGCTTCCAGGGACGAAGCCACCCCCCACCCTGGGGCCATCACCAGCGTCTTGTCCCGACATCCACGAACCCGCAGCCCGCTGACCCCAGAGTCTGGGTTTCTGGTGATTTCCTTGCGTGTGTCCTAGTGATCTACCTCGAGGATGACTTCTTGTCTTTGACCATAATTGTGTGGGTGAGACAAAAGGATATGCATGCACCCTGCTGCTCTGTGAGGTTCCCCTGCCAACAAAAGCGTCCGCCTACCTGCCTTAGGTGTGCGTCTCTGCCTTTAACAGCGGAAGGAAGGATGCAGGTGCAAAACTGGCCCCCATCTTTGCTGGCTAGTTTTACAAAGTTTTTCAAATGTTCGGCTTTAATAAACTTTTTATTTTTTTACTTTTCCTAAAGTATAACTTTATTGTTTTGCTAAGTCTATATTGCACTTTAACTGTTGTATCGTGTCAGACACTATGTTATAGTGGGTGTTTTGTTTTGTTTGTTTTAAACATCTTTATCGGGGTATAATTGCTTTACAATGGTGTGTTACTTCCTGCTTTATAACAAAGTGAATCAGTTATACATACACATATGTTCCCATATCTCTTCCCTCTTGCATCTCCCTCCCTCCCACCCTCCCTATCCCACCCCTCCAGGCGGTCACAAAGCACCGAGCTGATATCCCTGTGCTATGCGGCTGCTTCCCACTAGCTATCTACCTTACGTTTGGTAGTGTATATATGTCCATGCCTCTCTCTCGCTTTGTCACAGCTCAGCCTTCCCCCTCCCCATATCCTCAAGTCCGTTCTCCAGTAGGTCTGTGTCTTTATTCCCGTCTTACCCCTAGGTTCTTCATGACACGTTTTTTTCTTAAATTCCATATATATGTGTTAGCATACGGTATTTGTCTTTCTCTTTCTGACTTACTTCACTCTATATGACAGACTCTTTTAATGTCTTAGATAAAACACCTGTCGACCCCATAGGTATCTGGACCGAGACTTTGGAACTGGAGCCTTTTTACCTAATTCTGTAAAAATGGGAACTGTCTTCAAGACAGTGTCACTGGAACGAGAAGGTTAAAATTCCCACGCCAGCTTCCAGCTCAGCTTCTCAGCCCCGGAGGAAGGGTCCCGCCGGACGGGAGAGCAGCTGGCCGGCCACGGGGCGCCGCGGGTCCTGGCCCTGCGCGCCTTCTAGGCTCCCTTCTCTTGCCTTTCTTTTAAACCTGTGCGTGTGTGTCTGGGGCAAGTAAACCTGTGCTTTGGGGAAGCAAATCTGTAATGGTTTGTGCCTGATGAGGGGTGGTGCTGCACGTACGTAGAGAGGGTGCAGATGTTCCTGTGCCCAGAGAAGCCCAGGCGCCCAGTGGCAAAGGCCCTGTCCTGGTTCATCATGTCAGACACCTGGGTGGGGAGGTAGCTGGTCGCAGCCATGAGCATCTTTCCCACGTAGCTGGTCCAGGTCGAGGGCTCCTCTGGCTGGCTGGGGAGCAAAAGGCACAGGCGAGGGTGAGGCCAAGTCGCCCCCTGGCAGCCGTCCAACATCCCCGGCCGACGCTGGGAGCCGTGCTCACCGCAGCGGGCAGGGACTGTGCCCGGGCATGACGTTCCGCCCACCCGAACGCTCGGGACGTGCCATTCTGGCCGTACCCAGAGGGCGTCAAGGGCTCGTGTGTCCTTCGGAGGAGCCACTGCACGGCCGTTAAGAGGTTCCCAGTGCGACGGCCCTCCTGCATTAAGCAAGCTGAATCTGACTATCAGCCTGATTTCTAGGTTCCTGGAAGGGGGCTGGGCAGAGAGTGAGTTGGAATCAGTCCCTGGGCTCTGTAACCTAAGCCCAGGCCTGTTCTGGGCTCACGGAAGAAAAGAACAGGCCGATCTCAGCGTCAAGGCCTCCCAGCCAGACTGCGTGGGAAGCAAACCTCCGGGCAAGATGCTTGGACAGGTGTTTGGTTACAGCCCTCGAGCCACCCGGGTGGGTGCTGGCAACACACAAAGGTCGGGGGAATTCAAAGGGACCTGGTGTGCCCCCTGCAGTCCCCGCGCCGCATCCTGGGGTCTCTGGCAGACAAGGGGGAACGGCTGTGTGGTGAGACACGTGTGGGCAGGGTGGACACTCGCCTCTGCGCCGAGCAGCCCGGCGAGGACCAGGGTGGCTGCATGCGCTCCAGGCACCCTGGCCGAGAAGCCGCTTGTCCGGGGGACGCATCCTGGTGAGGGACACGGCCTGCGGCTCCGAAGCCCTGGGGTTTATTCCCCCCTGTCACCACCTGGACAAACCTCCCTGGGCCTCGAGGTTCTCGTCTGGAGGCGACGGGTGCTTCCAGGCTCCCGCCGTCCCCCTAACATCCTGAGCATCGTGGGACACACCTGCGCGGCTCGCCCTGGCGCGCTGCATTAGGGGTGGGGAGTCACCGAGAGGTACCGACCACACCCAGGTCCTGCATCCGAGGCGGGGCGCAGCACAGATGTAAAAGGGAGGACGCGTGAGTGCTGCAGGCAGGGTGCCCGGGACAGGGCCCAGGCCCGGGCGACTCCAAGACCACAGAGGAGGGAGGAGCGGAGGGCGTTCCTTCACCCCTCATATGCCACCGTCCTCACCGGGGACAACGGAGACAATCACGGTCCCCTGCCCGTGAGAACTAAAGCGGCGGCACAGTGTAGGGGCTGGCGCCCGGCGAGTGCTGTCTCATAAGAGGGCGTCTCAGGGGCTGGTGGGACTGAAGAGGCTTGGTCGCCGGGCTAGGCCTGGCGAGGCAGGTCTGTCTCCGAGTGGGGTCGGCGGGGCAGGAGGGGGGCCCGATCAGATGCTCTGGACAAGCATCTGAGAGTCAGGGCCACGCTGGGCCGGCCCAGGGGGCAGAGGCAGGGAGGCCTCAGCTCAGGCAAGGTGCGGCGAGAAAAGCCTCGACCTCGTACGGCACTTGTTGTTCTCTTTCTGACTCACTTCGCTTAGTCTGACAATCTGTAGGAATCGAAACTGCGACACAGATGAACTCATCTACAACACAGAAACAGACTCACAGACACAGACGAGAGACTGGCGGTTGCCAAGGGCGGGGGAGGGCGAGGGATGGAGTGGGGGGCGTGGTGAGCAGATGCAAACTCTGTGTACGGGATGGAGGAACAGCAAGGCCTACCGTAGAGCACAGGGGACTGCACTCCACATCCTGGGAGGAGCCGGAAGGGAAAAGAACACAGAAAGAACGTGTGCGTGCGCACGCGCGTGCGTGTGCGCGTAACCGCGGCACTGTGCCGTACAGCAGACATTAACACAGCATGTGGTAAATCAACTCTACCTCGGGACTTCCCTGGCGGTCCAGTGGTAAAGAATCCGCCTTCCAGTGCAGCGGACGCGGGTTCCATCCCTGGGCGGGGAACTAGGATCCCACATGCCGCGGGGCAGCAAAGCCCACATGCCGCAAATTACAGAGCCCGTGTGTTCTGGAGCCCACGCACCGCAACGGAAGATCCTGCGTGCCGCAACTGAGACCCGATGCAGCCGAAAATCAAACAAACAAACAAACAAACACTATACTTCCACACGCATCTGGTATCTCTATAGTGGCTGAGAAAACAAGAATGCAGATTAAATCTTTAAGTGTGTTGTATCTGTAGCCATCACGTTGTGAATATGCCAAAGACAAAGGCACATTCCCTTAGTTGTTTGGGAAGAGGGAGGGAGGGAGGGAGGGAAGGAAAGAAGGAAGGAAGGCCTCGAACGCCAGGCTGGAGGATCTGGGACTTTACTCCTGAGGGCAAAGGGGAATAAAGGGGTCTGAGGATGGAGGGGCATGTTCCAAGGATTAGTCCAGCAAGCAGATGTATGATGGTCAGAAGAGGCTACAAGGAGTGAGACCAAGGAAAGGAGGCCCGGTTCAGGGGGGTGGCCAGAGAGGAGGGACGGAGGCAGAGGCAGAGGCAGAGTCGTCTCGTGCTGTACGAGTTACCGCTTCATGGACGGGGTGGGCTGGGGGGATGTGGAGAGTGACAGGAAGGTGTGTTCCTGGTGACCTGAGACGGACAGAAGCAGGTGAGCCTGGAGGCGGAACTGAGCCCAAGTGGCCACTTCCCACCTTAAGCACCAATAAGAGACTCGGATGGAGATGTGACCAAGGCAGCGGCGTGGGGTCCCCGGATCCCGGGACCTGGGGGTGGCAGGGCATCCAGATGGTTCTGCTGCCCACGGGGGCCCGAACCCAGCACAACTGACGACGGATTAAAGCTCCGGCAGAGAGCGGGTCCTATGGTGTAGAGGCTGTCCGAGAAGGGATAGAAACGTCCAGAAGACAGATGACATCTATTTAAAAGCTTAGAGGGCAAGCAGCGTGCTTTGGGGCACGCACACACGGGGGCGGGTGCTGGAAGGGTTCCAGGCACGTGAGCAGCGCGGAGGGGCAGCATCTAGTGTTTCACAGCCCTGTGGGGCCAAGGTTCAGAGGGCGTGAGAGCAGCCCCTGGCCGGAGCCAGGGCCCCACAGTCACTGGGTGCCCCGGGAGGGAGGGAGGGAGGGAGCTCCAGACGGTGTGGGACAGAGACCGGCACCGTGTCACACACACACACACACACACACACACACAGACACACAGGCACACACACACACGCACAGACACAGAGACAAACACACATACACAGAGACACACACACACATAGACACAGAGACAGACACTCACACACGGAGACACACAGGCACAGACACACACACAAGCACACACAGACACACACACACACACAGGCACAGACACACACACAGACGCACACAACGGAGGCCGGGTTCTGTATCTCCCTGAGCGGGTGGAAGGGGTCTTCCCGTGGAAGTCCCACCCTGGGGGAGGAGCCTGTCTCTCCTGGTACCAGGCGAGGCCCAGCAGAGGAGGCCACACTTGGGACACGGATTTGAGCGGTCGCTGGAGGTGCCGCCTGGCGGGTGTGAAATGCGGCTCTTTTGCGTGGACCCTGGGTTTGCAGACGGAGGCCGGCTCCAGGCGAGATGCTGAACTCCTCTGAACCCGTTCCCTCGGTCGTGAGGCTCCCAGCCCGCCGGCCTTCTGGAAGCGCGAGGGCAACCAGGGGCTGGAGAGTGTCGGGAGGCTCCACGGACCGAGAAGCGCGGGACCCGGACAAGCGGCCGTGCTGCCGAGGCCACCACCGCTTTCTGGGTGTCCCTGAGCTAATCGCTAACCTTCGTGTTTCCATTTCCTATAGCGACCCTAGGGGGAGGTGTCAGGAGACACGCGGTGTCTGAAGGCCCCCTAGGAAGGTGTGAGCCGTGTCCTGGGCTGCGCGGGGCAGGGTCTGGGCCCCAGGGGCAGGCTGGGTGACATGACACTGCCACGGCTGAGGCCTGCGTGGAGGAGACCCTTCACTGCTTTCCCGGGAGAAACAGGGGCTGCACACCTGTGCACCTGCACTGGTGCCCACACGACAGCGGGCGGAGTCCCTAGGAGGGAACCCAGGGAGCCACGGCCTGGTCCCCGGAGCCTGTGCCAGCGAGGAGACCGCAGCCCCGTGACTGTGTCACGTCGTACGGCCCAGGTGGCTGTCGAGGGGGTATGATCCAGACGGCTTTAGCCAATCGCATGGGCCTTAAGAGCAGAGGGCTTTGCCCAGCCAGAGGCAGGAGGGAAATTCAGAGAAATCAGGAGCTTGAGACGGAATCGGCACGACCTTGCTGGTTTGAAGGCCTCGTGAGGAGGGACAGGGCCCTGGGGGCCATCACGGGGGCAGGGGCTTC